GGGGACGTGACCTACCTTAGGTTCCAGCGGAATCCCTCTGTTATGTTGAAATTAGATTGCAGAGAACACGAGCAGAGACAGGGACAGCCATTCGGAGGCCAGTGCAGTAACTGGGCAGGTGGTGATGGAAGCTGGGACTAGAACCGAGCAGTAGAAGGGGTGAGACGATGATGAGTGGGTAAGAGGTGGGGGGTAAGGAAGAGGACCTCGAGATGACTCCTGAATTTTTGGCCTGAACCAGGGTGAGTGACTGAATACCCATTTGTAGGAACAACCCATTTTGGCTGCAGCAACGTGATCTAACTAAGCCTCGTGTCAGAATCTGATTGTAAGTTTGCCCCTGTGACTCTCAAAACCAATAGAATACGCAGATATTGGGAAAGGAGCTGTGGGTGTACTGAGGACATGGAGAGAGGAAAGCAAAGGGAACCATGGCTTACTTAAAATACATTCTCTTTATTTTATAGATAGAGAGACTGAGGCACAGAGAAATGAAGTTACTTACCCAGGTCACACAGCTAGAACATGGCTAAACAGGATTTGAACCCAGAGCCCATGGCCTTAACCACTGTGCTGCTTAACCAGTCTCCTGGAATGGCTATTATTTCTAGATTGTTAGTGTGTTTGTTAGTTTTCACAGGTACAAATGCCATTGCCAACAATGTCTTATACACACATCTTTGCACACCCAAAGATAAGTGTTTCTGAAAGGTAAATTTCAGAAAGCGGATACGGTGCGTGGTAGGTTTAGGGCCCTGGTGTTCTGTGGCATCTGTCAGCTCCCACCCCTGGCACTAATGTGCGTAGATCGGTGCCTGCTTGTCTTCCCTTCCACTAACGAGCCAGCCCCTCCAGTGGCAGAACTGGCTTTTGAAGGAGGCTGTCTTCTTCCAGGAGGTGAGGGATAGGAAGGTGGTTGGGGGGTAGGGGCTTTTTATAAACCGCTAGACAGACCCAGATCAATAATGCATGTTCCCAAAAAGGCCAGCCCATTATCTCACAGTCTGCGACAACTGGCACGCAGAGGGTGGTCCTAAAAAATTTATCATCTGCTATTTTCTGCTCATCCGTGCGGCAGTTCCGATGGTTCTTGGGGCTGGAGACTTCAAAACTAAGATAATTCCAGGCTTTCTTCCAGTCCCAGGGTGGAAAATAGCCATCCGTCCTAATTAGGGTCTGGTTGAGGGAACTGGTGCGGGCACAGCACAGAACAGGGGCTCCACGTCCTGTTCCCTAATTGCAAGGCGGGGGGGGGGGCTATCCATTTTTCCTTTCCCTGCATGCGTTTGACACACCTCCCTGCGTTGTCGCTCAGAAGCGTCAAATGCCCAAGGGAACTGGTCCCAGGGCCTATCAGTCAATAAGTGGCCTCAATTATCAATACATTTTCAAAGCCATTGGGAAAGTCCCTGGGTTGGGTGACCTTCAGAGACCAGCAGGGTCCTCGCTGGGCTGCTTCACCAGTAGGCGGGAGAGGAAGCAGCACATGGAAGCCAGGGTCTTGTTCGCATGCGTCCTTTGGTGAGAGAGCCCGTGCGCCGGGAGACTGTGCCAAGCTGAACTGCTTTCACTCGATCCAGACAGTCCTTTGGTGAGCTCGGGGGCGCGGGCAGGCTCTGAGACGCCGAGGTGAGTTAGACGTCGGCCCCGCCTGGGGCGAGGGCGTATTTGCCGCATCCCAGGGCCATCTGTTCTATTATTTGAAATTTTCTTTAACTGGACTTACTTCTTGAGACTTAAATATTCTTTTAAAAG